TCAGTGTCAAGTCTTTTCCAAACTGCTGTTCGGCGTTTTAGTTGACTACGTCATACGGTGAAATGTCGCCGCTCGAACCGAGACAGAAGGCTTTATGATCTGATTAAGATGAAGTTCCAGTTACCCAGCGATCTATCTGACCGAGTTGGAGAATGCGTTCTACACGTTCTTATGAACGAGTCAAATGTTGGCCTTAAAACTCTTATTGTCAGTGTGTGCGATGTGACAGAAGAAGTCGGGGTATGAGTCAAACGCACGTGAAAAACCAATTCGGGCGCCAGCCCATAACCGATGCTCTGGACCTCAAATATAATGGTGCAATGGTGAACGAAGTTAGCCTTCAAAGTATATCGAGAGTAATGGATGCTGTGACTCATATATTAGCCAGCACATTGGACTTGCATCAGCAAATTTTGGAGGCTGAGTGGGGTATGGAAAGACCGTGAATTATGGACTGCTCAGTACCGGTATAGACGAAGGTTACTACCTACTTCGAAACAGTTGCGATGCTGAAACGTCAGGAACGTCCACTGAACTTCTTTCGGCAAACCTACAAATCCTCAAATTTCGGTGGTATCATCCACTAACGAACGATCACATATTCAGAATCACCAAGTTAAGAAAACTCTCAAAGAACTACGAGACCGACAGCTGTCCTAATTCAGTAAAGTAGCTCAAACATCAGAAGCCGCTAGAAAATCGTTCGTTCTGTTGGAGCTGACCAGGAGACTTAGAAAAAAAGGTGGCCAGTTTACGGGCTAGCAAAACTTGTTGGAAGCTGATGTGCTCACGAGAATGTGTACCTTTTTCGTCGAGACAGTTGATGCTTAAAAAATTCTTAGGACTTTCTGCTTGTCGGAAATGATTAATACAGGATAGGCGGAGCTGTTAAAGACTATTGTTTTCCAAATAAAGAAGACAAGCAGTAACAACTTTCAAGGCTTAATCTGTTAAAGAAAACTCGATATTATCAGTGACCCCCTGTCGTTTTGTAAGCCTAAGATAAATTTGTAACCTTCAAGAGATGTAGTGGATCTTTCCATTCATGTATTGTAGTTGTCTTTTATTCCGGGTCTTGCTTCCTTTTTTCTTCTGCGTTTCTTTTCATCTTTCTCTTGTGAGTCGACTGTTTTTTATAACGTTTTATTTCCACTTTTAGGCCTGATAAATATACTTTTATTTGCATAGCACAGTTGAAAAATGAGAACTGCCAAGTTAGGTGATGCCTAGTTTTGACCTTCTGCCGGAATTGGCTCTTTAAAAGTTTAATCCATTTGTAATTGAAATATTAGAAAAGCACAGAGGATTAAGATCTCGTAAAATTGATCAGGTTCTGGTGGCAAACAGTGATGGATATATTTAGTGCCATCGTTTTAAAAGGGTGACCATATGATGTTAAACTTTCAACATTGTTTTGTGTCCCATTTTCTTGTTTTAATTGTTCAAGTGGCGTTGATGGCCTTCTATGCCTATGGAAACAAGGAAGGGCGCAATTTTGCTGTGGACACCCAAAGAGGTGGCACGTTTTGTTATTCGCACCAAAAATAGTGAAAGCAAAAGTAATTAAATTTTTTTGAATATCTCCAGACATATAGTAATAATATATAAGCGACGACAATCATATTATTTTCTGTTTCCCTTAAGCATCCTTCCAGCCTCGTTCATCTTTTCAACAGATCTCTGAGTCTTCACGCTGAACAGTTGATCCACTTGCATTGCTTGTGGTTTAGAGCAGACGGACGATAGTTTCCAAATCCTTCTGTCCCGGCTTAAAATCAGAGTGCACTGCTTTATGTAGATTTGTTTTAAAGCACAGAGAAGTCCGTCAGCTCCAGCTTGCAGTTTCCAGGTTTGATAGATTTTCTTGGCCTTAAAAATTGTCTCTGTCGTATACTTTGGTCTGCTTCCGTCTTCTCTGACGTCACGGCTGTACGTAACGTGTTGAATGTGTGGAAAGCTTCCGATGTGCATTGAGCGGTTGCTGTCTACAGTTGACAAGGCAATTAAATGATAACCATTAATTCTATCATTTCACGTTTGCAAATATTGATCTGAGTGCACATAAAAATCCATGCAACTTGCTTTTTCTATACAGCTAAAGTTAATGACAAACCAATGAAAATGAATTTTTGCTGATGTATAATCTGTTCAGTAGTGCTCATTTTCTAAATTTGCTATTCAGTACTCAGTTTGCTCATAGTCCCCTCCACATCATGATCACCGGTGTCATTTCAGTAGGAAGGTCTCGTGATCAGGATACCTTGAACAGTTTACAAGCGATGTGAAAAAAACGGTTAATATGTTGTCATTGCTTTAGAGTTTTGCTGCGTTTTCTAAACAATTTTTGTTATTTGTTAAATGTACTCCAGTTTGCATCTTGTGCAGTCTTAGCCCCATATCTACAATTGTTTTTTAGCTACGTTATGTTTTCATGCTCAGTTTATATCATCGGTTTTTTACTTTAGGTTCCAGAGTGTTGATTTTTTCACAGATGTCACGAATATTGGACATTCTTGAAGATTATTGTCTCTGGAAAGGATACGGCTATTGCAGGCTTGACGGTTCCACTCCCCATGAGGAACGACAGGTGTTTAATAGATAGATTCGTTTATCTGGTTTGCATTCAACTTGATTTTAAGTCTTCGATTGACGCTTACAACAGTCCTGACAGCGACAAGTTTATATTCATGTTGACCACGCGGGCCGGTGGTCTAGGAATTAACTTAGCGACGGCTGACATAGTCATTTTGTACGATTCAGACTGGAACCCTCAAGTGGACTTGCAGGCGATGGACAGGGCGCATCGCATTGGCCAAAAGAAAACCGTCAAGGTGTTTCGACTGATCACTGAGAACACCGTTGAGGAGCGTATCGTCGAACGAGCCGAGATTAAGCTACGTCTTGACACTGTGGTCATTCAGCAAGGTCGTCTGGCCGAAGCGCACAAGTCATTGGGCAAGGACGAGATGTTAGCTATGGTGCGATTCGGTGCCGACCACGTCTTTGCCGGTAAAGACTCTGAAATTAGTGATGAAGATATAGAAGGCATCTTGAAGAGGTCTGAGGAAAAGACTGAGGTAATCCATTTTGCCAGTTGTAAACTCGAACCGTGTTCACCGATTGCTTCGATCAGGCGTTGATGAAAAAGCTCGAGCAACTGGGTGAATCGTCGCTGAGGAACTTCACGCTAGACACAATGGAAAACACGTCCGTTTATCAGTTTGAAGGCGAAGACTATCGTGAAAAACAGAGACGCAACGTCGGCTATTGGATCGAACCACCGAAACGCGAACGCAAGGCCAATTACCAGGTGGACGCCTACTTCCGGTAGGCGGCTTTTCTTCCTACTCTTTTATGTTACGTTTTTAGTTGTGAATTGAACTCTCATTTTAATACTCTTCACCACAAATGCGGTTATGAAGGGAATATTCTATTTTATTATACTGAAAACATGAGAAAACATTTTGTAAGAAACCAATCAAAATATTAAGTTATTTGATAATGAACGACTAACCATGTTTCAGTCAGTACTGAATCTTATTCATCCCAGAGCATAGGTTGTTATCGGTGTTTCTCATTTTTTGCTGTTTTTTTGGGATCTATGTTCCAATAAAATTAGGTTTAAGAACTATTTGGTTAGATTCGTAAGCAGCGATAGAGCTTTCCGAAATCTGGTTGACGTATTGTTTGGATTTGCATGTAAGAAGAAGTAATGTCAGGGTTGGTCAGACTTTTCGGTTTATGAGCATTCAAATCACATGAAGGATGTTTTCTTTATTCCCTAATTTTGCTCGTTCTCTTTCTTGGACAAGTGCCTACATTGTGATCGTTAGTGGCACGATGAACAAACTGTCATGTGCTTTCTTCGCTGACTAGTGCACTCAGTGCTCCCCGAATACTTCTATTATGCAGGGATATAGGCTTAAGCAACGGAAAGCGATATTGGTACCGCTAAGATAAATCTTTTATATATACCGATTATGTTGGATGACTTTTGGCTTAGAGTTCAGCTATGCTTGACGTCTTTTCGACCATTAAATCATTGTTCCGGACATAAAGATCCTGACTTTAGCTTTAATGATCTTCGTTGGAAACGATTGATTGTCATTTCCACGATTTGCCTTAAATTTGGTCAAGATAAACTCTATGTGCTTGCCTGTTCCATTGCTCGGTAGTTGTCGTTTTCCATAAGGCTCAGAATTATTTTCGTGCCCGCACCTATGTGCATAAGTTGCAATTCATTGTCGAAATCGAAGCTTGTATTGTCGTCGATAATTGCCTTATGCAGTGTGGAGAGTCAGATATATTCAGTCACGGTAAATTTTACTTGATCCTAGATCTGATGAAATTTATACATGCTACTCTGAGGATATTAAGTGAATGCGTATGAGTTTATTATCCTGTCCCAGTCCCTCTTTTTATTTGCATAATTGTAAAGTATATGGCTCTAATCGTTTAGTGAAAGGGACTAATTCAGAGACATGCTTAAAGATTTTAGACATTTTAAATATAAAGTGAAAATTGTCACAATTAACAAAGTAAATATAAGAACTTGTATGTGGAAGACAAAATACAAAATGTATGTAGTAAACTGGTAGTTGCGCGATTTTTTCAATGTTATTCATTCGCTTATGAAATTGGAAATGGTTCTTTAGGGACGCTCTTCGTCCGCATGCTGAACCGAAAGCTCCAAAAGCCCCTCGACCTCCAAAGCAGCCGAATTTGCAAGACTTTCAGTTCTATCCGCCTCGATTAATGCAGCTTTACGACAAAGAAATTTACTATTACAGAAAATCTATCGGTTACAAGGTACTTTGCTGCTTCCATTACCCATTATGATAGTTTTGGTATCAATATGCCGCCGTCTGATAGGCACAAAATCGATTTTTGACAAGAACTAGGAATATTAGTAACCACCACATAAAGTGAAATGAGTGTCAGACTGTTTCATTTTGTTTGGTACGGCCATACCACGTTATATTCATCCATTTCGAAAGTTATTAATCTGTTATTTTTTGACCGACTTCGATAAAAATTAATGGGATGGAGGCAGAGTAAACTCTTTGCTCAAAGGAATCGAAATTTCATTACACGTTTTGGTGATTATTACATTTAATAATCATATATCAGGTGGGTCAATGCAAAATACAGCCATTAGGGCCGCTCAGATGGGGCATTATGACTGTATATTTCGTTCGCACCACTATGATCACGTTGTTTACGAAACTGTCTCTGTTATTGACTTGCTGCCTGTTTCTCGGCTTGTTGTACGATGCAACCTAACGGTTGTCCCCTTGAGTCAGTTCAAACTAATTATCACCATAGATCAAAGCCGATCTCATTTATTACTGTGTTACGACAGATTAATACCTAAACCTTAAGAACTTTTTCTTTGCCTAAATTCTAAGGCATCTGATATTAATCTACGCCATTTCCACTACCATTTTTTCATTTTGTCATGACAGTTAGGAGAGAATCAATTAAACTGGGTTGTTTTTGTTTTTTTTTATTTGAAAGATTTGGTAAAAATAAATGGTTTTTATTTCTTAATTGTGTTTAAGACACCAAGGTAAAGCTCTGATCATTCTGTTAGTTCATTCTGGTATTTTCCCTCATCTGTTATATAGCGTAATGTTCATTAATATATTTTCGGTGTTGCGATTCATGTTACTAGCAAATGAAAATTAGTACCATATTCTTAGGCGCCAGTGGTAATGATGAGAGTATTGTTCCAGCTTCTTCAGGATCCGTCCTACATGAATTCAGTGCAAATTTTAAAATTCCCTTGCTCGTTGGCCAGCTGAAATTATCTTTCATTTAAGAAGAAAGCAGACTGCTATAAATTCGTGTAACCGGATTTAGTGAAATTATGATCTTATATTACCATCTATTTTCTCTTAATTTTTGTATTGTCAGTACATTGTATCCAATCGAACATTTATTTTGTTTTTTTTTTGTTATTGCTGCATAAATAAGGTCACAAGAAAGTATGTTTTTTCGCAAAATAGAGCAGCTAGGCGTAATCAAGCGTACACTAGGCGTGAGAGTGACTGTTCGTTTCAGGACTGACATAGGTTTCACAGGATTAGGAATTGTTTAAGTGAGAAACGACGAAAATTAATAGAGTTGTACTGAACAGAATTAAACAAGCAGTAGTGTCAATTTAATAAATCAAACAGAAGCGTGACAGCGCACCGAAGAACTGCACTTGCCTCTTTTCTTCCATCTTTAGCGTTTCTGAAACAAGCTGATGCCGACATGAAACTTCGATTGCGTTCTATGCTGGACAATCTGTCATTTCAATGGCATTTAAAAACATGTCTTTTGTTGATCATTTATGTCGAAAATTCGTAGGTGCCAAAGCCATCGAATGAATCGCCTAAGGAATTGGAGGAGTGGAAGAATCAACAGAAAAAAATTGACGATGCCATTCCACTAACCGAAGAGGAGCTGGCCGAGAAGGAAGTTCTGCTGCAGCAAGGCTTCAGTAATTGGAATCGTCGGGACTTCCAACAGTTTATTAAGGCCAACGAAAAATACGGCCGCAGCGACATCGAAAGCATATCACATGAAGTTGAAGGCAAGACTCCAGAAGAGGTAAATTAATTTTTTTTCTTTTCGTTATTTCATGAAATATCAATGCATCGGTGTTCGGCAATCGGTGTTAACTCCATCTTCTTTCACGTTGCCGTGGGGTTCTTTTAGAATATCACAATGACATTGCCGTTATAATTTCTTACCAGGTGTTTCTGCTGGATAGAGTGCGTTGTTGATTCATGAAATGAGGTACACCTGAAAATTTGTTGGTGTGTTTTCGGTTAGCCACCCTAAAGGTTGCAACTGCTTCAGAAATTCTTTGCAATATTCCTGATCCTCTGTCAAGAAAATGCTCCATGAACTTGATTGCGAGTCACGACTATGTCAGATCGTCTGTACATTTGCGCTCTCTGGCCCCTAGTTTGCTCCTGACCTGTTTTCGTTGTGCTTCTTCTGAGACAGGGCATTCGGTTATTCTCTGTCATCTTCATCATCAGTCGTGGAAGGCATGGGTAACCCAATTTTTCCTTTTTATTGCGGTCTCAACCTGTCAGATTTCTCATGGTCATGGTGATTCTGAAATTTTGCTCATTTGCCATGCTTTTTTTCACTCTGCTTGTGGTTTAGGTCAAAGCATACGCGAAGGTTTTTTGGAACCGATATCACGAACTGGGTGACGTAGACCGCGTCAAGGCCCAGATTGAAAGGGGTGAGGCACGCATTCAACGAAGACTCAGTATCAAGTACGCGTTGGACGCGAAAATCGCCAAGTATAAGGCTTCGTTCCATCAACTGCGCATTGCGTACGGCACGAACAAGGGTAAGAACTACACAGAGGAAGAAGATCGGTTTCTGGTGTGCATGTTGCATCAGTTGGGTTTCGACAAGGAAAATGTGTACGAAGAGCTGCGACAGGCTATTCGACAAGTGCCTCAGTTCCGTTTCGATTGGTTCATCAAATCAAGAACAGCGATGGTATGTAATTATCGATAAAGCCTAACGTTTTAATGCTTGATCTTTACTTTCAGGAATTGCAGCGGCGATGCAACACCTTGATTACGCTTATTGAGAAGGAAATGCACGAGGTTGAGGAAAATGAAAAGAATGACCGAGGTCGTGGGCGTGGTTCCGGTTTCAAAGTTCCAAAGTCACGTGGTGTTTCACAGAAAAGAAAATCTGAGCCCACTGAAGGTCGAGGCAGAGGGAAACGGCCAAAAGTCTGATTGCTGAATTCCAAAGCAGTTTCCTTGTCTTCATAATCTGGACTCTTTCGACCAGTGTAGAGTATCCTAAGGTTAGGCTTCATTGGTTTGTCATGCATATGATTATGCTTTAAACGCTTCCCGACGCAAAGCGTTTTTTAACTTTTTCGTATGCTTCTGTGTATGACTTGTGTTGTTGTTAACTTATGTCATTTGAATGATGAATCAGTCTACACGTTCGAATGTTGATATTCTTTTTGCCGCTGTGAATTGTGGTGTAAGAACATGTTCCGTTATTATATTTTGCGTATGTTTCGGTTGAGCGTGCTGCATCGTTTACAAAGCCGTCCGTAAACTTAGGCGAACGTTTTAATGCGCCATATAATAAGGTACCGATTGTACTACAGTAGCAAGGAGTTTTGAGATAGTTGGGGCAGTGTAATCGCAGTGAACACCAGTAGTGCAACACTGGCCTATATCTTTATCTGAACAATTTTGCCGATGACACTACTGCAGGGCAGTGTAGTCGCTGACGAAACCTGAAGAACACCAGCTGTCTGTTGTGGCGTGTAACGGGAAGGAAATCGTGATGAATGTCGCTCTACGCCCACACAGCAAATGCAGAAATCAAGTATTAAAGCGAAGCGTTCATGAAATTAACGGAGGACCAAATGCAATTTGTTTGATAAGTAGGACGGTTCATTGGCGTTAATAGATGACCAGTGGCTGAAGTTTACTCCCGAGATCGTGAAAGTCCGCTTGGTGCCCTCCTACGCCAGATGCTTTTCCCAAATGTCATGGATATTTTCGAATATTACAAGAGATTTATAACATAACTGCGTTTTTCTGAAGGAGTTATGCGTGCGGATGGTGGGGAAATCACTTGCTCTGAAATACATAGTCTGTAACGATATAAAGACCTTAAAATTATTTAAACAGTGTCAGAATGCAGAAAACTGAAACCCCTTGTTCGACCAGCATATAATGAGTAATTCATAAATCATTTTTACGTTGTTACGTCCTCACAAGCTTTAAGTTTTAGTTTTAGCAGTATGCGAGGGGAAAACCCATCTAAGCAATCAATAGTTTTCAAAAATTATTCAAATCTGATCACTGAATCAGTCTGACAGAAATGAAAATTCGATCCTTTAGTTTTATAAACGGGTAAGGTAAGGAGGCGTGAGATATTCTCTGATGTTTGCAATGCGTATAGAGCAGGGTGGAGTTAAACCTGCTGCAAGGGTGTGCATGATTTGATTAAACTTGTATTACCAACGGAATTTTGAAGCTATGATACCGCTCTTTGTAACTCTGAATTACAAGCATTTTGGCCTGGGTTTCGATTGGTTTGAAGAAGATAATTTCCAGACCCTGACAGCAGCTGTCACGAAAAAGGCTATTTTTGTTTCCATTGGCATTTTTCACTTTGAGTTCCTTTGACGGGTTTGGTCTAAATCTACAACGGATGTAGACGAGTTGCAAATAGCAAAATGACCTCCAAATATGTTACTTTTGAAATATGCAGGGCTTCTTTAATGAACGAATAATGTCCAGCTATGTTTTATAGTTACGTGTAATATTATTCGTCACCTCACGTACCATTGAGCTTTCAGATGCATACAGTTGTATAAAATTCGACTGAGATCGGTTTATTCCGGAAGTAAACTGACGCACATTTCGTCAGTACCTTCTATACAGAGGCGGTCAGTTTTCCAGGATTAAACGATGTTTTTTAGCGGTGGACCAATGACATGATAGATACAGATAGTTCTTTCTTTGTCATGCGCCGCTGACGAATCAGCTGCGTTAGCTGAAGCCGTTGTCAATAAGCGCTACTGAAGTGTAGACGCGCCAGAACAGCTGGCGTATCTTGATGTTTTCAACTCAATTCGGCTACAGGTCAAGGAGTCGCCAAACACAGCCATTACAATGACCACTACAGTTTTTTCTTGGTCGTATTTACCGGATGCAGTGGAGCGTGAAATGATAATAGAGCAGTAATCAGCTGTCTTCCGTGCTATCAGCTCTGATAAGTAGAGAAAACCAATTCCTTCATCTTCCTTCGCCGCTTCTCCTTTCGGGTCGCAGAGGCAGACACGTCAGACAGAGCTTCCAACGTTCCCGATCCTGTG